CCCCCCCCCCCCCCTCTTTTTCTGCAAACAAAAAGGTCCTACTTAGAAAAAAAGATGAGACTACAGCTCATGAGAAAATGTACTACTTGCCCCCAAAAAGATTCAAATGAACCAAGAATGGGTAGGACCTAGGAACTCACAAGCCACAAAGCACACACACTATATCTTCACCATTCCTCACTTGAAGGAAGACAAAAACCATCAACATTTCTTGACCGTGATATTTATTATTATCAGATCCCCATGCATATATACTCCATGTTATAAAGTACATCCATGGTTATATATACCTCATCATTATAAAGTGCACTTGTTACGCAAGTAATAATCCTTACAAGTACATGTGCATGTTTTCGTGTGAGTAAAAAAAATGAGATGAAAACTCATTTTGCTAAATAAAACATCTTTGATTGATAGGTGGTTAGATTCATCCTGCTAGTCACATCAGATGAGTGAATTTATTAATTATTTATCTCTTAATAACTCATTTGATAAAATGAACTACTGGTTCATAACTATGCAAAATTATAACGGCATGACTTTCTTCACATTTGCACGCAAGTATTTAACCGTCGTAAATGTGTTTTCCCCTATGAAGGTAACATCACCAGGGTTTATATTAGCTAAATATTTCACAAAGTAACCATCAAATTATAAATACATATCCAAATATGAATGCTTATTTTGTATGATTAACTCTTCTATTTAGAGAACCTATTTCGACCATTTAAAGGCTCTGCATAGAGTCACTCAAAACTTAGGGTCCCACAAAAAATTAATGTCAGAGCATTTGAAAGCAAAGCAATGCCTTCTTCCTAGCTCCTCCCTAAGTACATTAAATATGCAACAAACCTACAAACAAATATTCATCTCATGATAGGTATATAGAGTTTAAGGATTAAATTAGTTTGATATAATTTATTAACCTTTATTCCAAATTAACCAAGCATAGAGTCCTACACCGCCAAAGACTCTGTTTCCACAAGAATCAAGACTCTGTTTCCACAAAATTCTTGTTAATCAAGGCATTAGTAATTAAAATTAACCAGCACAAAATAGATTACTGACTAATTTATAATATCCTTGATTTGGATCTCATTACATATAATTGAAACTAATAGTATTGAAAAATATAGCCAAGAGAATTATCATTGCTAATTAAAGAACTAATGCACTCTGACATCCCTGTTATATAAGTAACAAGTATCAACCGAGGAGACGTCATGAGATTAAATAACTTGGAAATGTTGGGTACCAACTCAAATTCCAAGTCGGATGCGTGTTTGAAGGCTAAGGCAAATCCTAATAGTTTTCTTAGAGGCCAAGTAAACTTGGCGGAGAAGTTAGGATTGTGTCTTGGATTCTTTGTATAATTTCATGAGAATTAGATAGGGTTAGAGATCTATCATGAGTAGAAGATTGGGTTTCATCATGATTAGGAGTTTGATCCTATTCTAATTAGGAAGTTAGGTTAGAGATATGGTTTTGGTTTCCATATATATATATATATATATATTCTTCTATTGTTGGAGAAAAAACCAAGGAGAGTAGATAGAAGGAGAGAGACAATATTCTTGTAATCAGGGTTTTAGAGGGTGTAATTGGGTTCAAGGGTATTGTGAGAGAGAAGGTTTGACAGTCTTTGTCCGTACAAAATATTATAATTTGAAGGTGATAATAGATTGATTTTGATCCCATAGTTTTTTTCTGTTGAGGGTTTTCCATGTTAAATCTCGTGTGATTCTATTTACTACGTTTGGTGGTTTTCGGGATTTTTGCGAGATCTAAAAATCCCAACAAGTGGTATCAGACCGGGGTTTGATAGTTCGTGGAGGTTTGACCGGTGTGCGATTGGTGAAGACGTCAACGGTCGAAGCACGGTGATCGACATCGAATAAAACAAAAAAAAGGTATTTGTAGTAGAAAATATTGTAGCGGCGGCGGGAACACTGCTCCCATGGAGGATGATGACTTCTTCGGGTCTGAAGTTCGATATTCCGCTATTCAACGTCAAGACAAATTTTGGAGTATGGCAGTGTACGGTTCAAGATATTCTTGTGCAGTAAGGTGTTGATCAAGCTTTGGAGGAGAAGAAACCTGAAGGATTGAAGGATGCTGGATGGAGTTCCATACAAAAGAGGGCGGTTAGTACAATTCGTTTGGTACTCGCCCCCAAGATCAAGTACAATGTTATGCAAGAGACCACACCTAGGGGGCTGTGGGAAAGGCTCAAAGGGATTTATGTGTCGAAGTCGATGACCAACCGATTGTGTTTGAGGATGGAGTTTTATTCATTGAAGATGAAAGAAGATACTGCAATTCAAGACCACATCAATGTCTGTAATCAACTAGTTTGCCAACTTATAAATATTGATGAGGAGATTAAAGAAGAAGAGCAGACGCTACTCTTATTGTCTTCCTTGCCGAAGTCGTACAAGCCGTTAGTTCAGACGATAATTACAAGGAAGCAGACTTTGAAGTTCGGCGATGTGACAACACTCCTACGTGAGAATGAAAGAATAATGAGAAAGGAGATCACATCTAATGGTGATGAGAGTGCACTAGTTTTTAAAGATTCTAATCGAGGGATGAGTACGGGAAGATGTGACAGTTATCAAGGAAGATCAAAATCTCGAGCCTGAGACGACATCGAAAGGGAGTACTATTATTGCGTAGAGAAAAGTCACATTCAGTTCAGATGTTCCCAAATACGAGATGATTTGAAGAGTATTAGACAAATGAAGCTTTAAGAAAATGAGAAGAAGGCGGACTCATCGGTGGTTGTATGTGATGAAGATGTGGTGTTGTTGATGCAGAGTACAGGTACTGATACGAGTAACATTTGGGTGTTAGATTCTGCAGCCTCTATGCATGTTTGCAACAACAAAAATTATTTTAACACATTGAAAATAGATGAAGATTTTGATGATGTGATTGTTGGAAACAATAAAAAAATAAAGGTTGAAGGTGTTGGAAGTGTTCGCCTCAAGCTTCACACTAGAAAGGTTGGAATTCTTCATCATGTGAGATATATGCCGTCATGCGGTGCTAATTTAATTTCGTTGGGTGAAATGGCATCACGTGAGTACAAGTATGTGAGTGAAGGAGAGTGGTGCAAAGTGTATAAAGAAGATGATTTAATTTTATGAGAGAGGAAGAATAGCAACTATATTTACTATTTAGATGAGCGTTCTGTTAATGGTGTAGATGACTCTTCTCAGACTCTTATCCACAAGGGAGAGGTGAAGAACAAGAAGAAGAGAGTGAGTTTTTCTGAAGCCGTTGAGACAGTTGGAGATTTTTCGTCGAGGGAGGACATGTTGGGTACCAACTCAAACTCCAAGTCAGATGCGGGTTTGGAGGCTAAACCCAATCCTAGTAGTTTTCTTAGAGACCAAGTTAACTTGGCGGGCAAGTTAAGATTGTATCTTTCATTCTTTGTATAACTTCACGAGAATTAGATACGGTTAGAGATTTATCATGATTAGGAGGTCGAGTCTCATCATGATTAGGAGTTTGAATCATATTCTAATTATAAAGTTAGGCTAGAGATAAGATTTTGGTTTCCCTATATATATATTCTTCTATTGTTAGAGGAAAAATCAAGGAGAGGAGAGAAAGAGAGAGATAATATTCTTGTAATCAGGGTTTTAGAGGGGGTAATCGGGTTCAAGGGTATTGTCAAAGAGAGAGTTTGGTAGTCTTTGTTCGTACAAAAGATTGTAATTTGAAGGGGATAGTGGATTGATTTTGATCCCGTGGTTTTTTACTATTGAGGGTTTTCCACGTTAAATCTCGCGTGATTCTATTTGCCGCGTTTGGTGATTTTCGGGGTTTTTGGGAAATCTAAAAATCCCAACAGCAAACTCATCTCAAGATTCTTTCCCATAATAGCAGCACAACACAACTACTAAAATTGGCCAAAACAAAATAAATAATGAGGAAAAAGTTAGGGAACCAAGATTTTTGGTAATTTAACTTTATAAGGTTTGGTCATTTAATAGTGTCATTTTTTTTCTGACACTGGTATAGAATTATTCTTCATGATTATGCTGGTTAATCATGGTATCAGTAGATATTAATACTTAGTAGGAAATCTACAATGTAAATGATAGGTGGAGCATACTCTTAATTGAGAGGTTTCATCACACGACACTATTCACTATTGTTAAGGTCAGCGTCGAATCGTATTAAAAATTCCAAAATATCTTCAACTAGTATTATTAATGAATAATTTACTCTAATATACCTTCTTTCGATTATAAAATATGAATACAAAAATTAAAATTTTAAAGTACTTAGATGGTAGCTCCCACTTAAACTTATGATTAATAAGACTCAATACATAATACATGTGTTTGCCAACTGTTGCTCCTTTGGTCTCTTGTTATGTCGAGATTCCATCTAATTTCTTCATCTCTTGTTTTCCACGTACACACACGAGCTAGGCCAATTAAATTAAAAATGTGCACTAGCTTGCAGGTGTGTCATGCGGGACCCACGTTGAATTATTAAGGGAGATTACGTGCTTGGCCAGAAATGTGGGATATGTTCAAAGGGGAAAGTGAGATAAACAACTTCTCCGTTGAGCTCGGGAGTTGATCATGAACCTGGAGCATCTCGCGAGTTAATTTCACAATTAGTACGCATAAGAGATGCATGCAATGATCAGGGCATTACCCTCCTATGTCCCGACTAACTAACTGAGATCAAGACCTAACTCCCACTGTTAGACTTATCCGTGATTAATTCGTAGAGATTAAACAACAACAACAATGAGCGGAAGCAGCGCCTGAATTCATAACTATTTGAGCACGGACCTTAGTTAGGGTTTGATCTTTCTAATCTGAAAGGTGTCTCTTGAATATCTCTTTAGATGGGGATTAGAGAATAGAGGACGTAGCCTTTAGATCAGGGACCATAACACATTTATATAGATTTGTAATTTTCTAATTTAGCCCCTCATAAAATTAGAACTGCAGTCCGGTATCTGCACAATTAGTCCATGACATATTTAAATACACATTGACCCAATTACCTGATTGATCACTTTTTGCAGGTCAACTGAAAAATAGCAACACACGCCGATATAACATATGTGCCCACAAATAGATTTAATTAGATTTAAATCCAACACACACCACTTTTATGATAAGTGAGTGGTGTACCGTTAATGTAATGGATAAATAGTTGAAAATCTGCAATGCAATGATGGGTGAAAGATGTATCCTTAAATTTTAACAAAAAAAAATAGAAATTAGTGGCTGCCAGGATCCAATCATAAGCATATATGGAACAATGCATTTAATGCTAGTAGGGATCAAGTTAACTGGTAGAGCGTGAGCAGAGCAGTACACGGCAAAATTTGGCCCAAGCCCAACAGAAGGTGCCTCTTAAGAATATCGGTTAGCTAAATAGTAAGTATGCATAGTTGTAGCCCAAACAACATGCAAATGGGCCAACAATCCTACAGTTACACATTATTGGGCTTTAAATCCAATTGCTATCCTTTTAAACCATTTAACTACCAACGGATAACCCCGCCAAAAAACAAAAAAAGAGGACAAAAATAATCCAAGTCCCAAGCTCAAGCAATGGCTACCATCTCCCCTCTCCTCGTCCTCCCCAAATCCCTCCTCAATTCTCAAATCCATTCAAAACCCACCTCCAAGATCCCAACTTTAACCAAACCCCTCAAGGAATTTCACCTCTCGTTAACTCTCTTTCCTCGGCCTCAACACCTTCGAACCCTACCCCTCGTCTCCGCACGCCGCCGCCGCCGCCGTCCTCCCTCGGCCTCCAGCCTAGACGAGCGAGCTCATTTTTCGACGACGGAGGAAGCCCACTAACGGCGACTCAGTGGCACTCACTCCTTGGGTTCACGTCTCATCTGGCTCCGCTCACTCATCGCGGCGGGCTTCCCGCGCCTTTTTTTCCTTCAGGTACCGGCTTCACTACACGTAGGTGACCGTTATGCTCCGGTTGTCACAGGCGGGTGACACGGACGACTTCCGTGATGACGTGCAGGTGGTCCCCAGGCTGATCGGGGAGTGGGGCGACATCGTAATTAGCTTGAAAGATGGGACTAAAGTTGACTTGAGGAGTGTGCCCAAGTTCAGGGAGATTGCTGACTACTGTCTCTTGATGAAGGAGGAGGAGAGCCAGAAGAAAGGAGGCCGTGCTGGGGACCGCAGAGGGTTCTAGAACCGTGTGGGTTTGGGATTTTTTGTTGTGAGGTACGTGATTAATTTGTGGATATTTTGATTTGTTGTATTTTGGAGAAATTGTTAATGCTGTTCTTGAATGTCACTCAATGGAGAGGAAAAAGTTTGCCCGATATACTAATTTTATACTGAGCTATGTTGTGTGGGTACTTCTGTTACCCGTGTCGGACCCATGCCCAACCGAGACTTTAGTAGACACTCCTTGGATAATTGCATGTACTTATTCAAATGCGTACTCAATTATAAGACATGATATAGTTTAAAACGCTCACATATACTTTGTGGACGTATATCCTGCACTTAACATGCAATTCAATATTACTTGGGTTTGCTTCAGCGCGTACCCAATTCAAAACTACGAGTGTTAAGGGTCTTTTGGATATCAAGTTTAAAAATGACCAATTTTATAATTTATAGATCTATTTTATAAAAAAAAACATATCAATATTATAGGAATTTTATTTCATACCACATGAAATTTAAAAAAAATGCTCTCATGTAGAATATACATATATGTGTTGTCATGCCCCCCGTACCCTACATTTCTCAAATTTGTTGCGTCCCATATCCGCACCCTTATCTGTGTGACTTAGATACTGAGTGAGTGAGAATTTAACTAAATGATGAACTATAGGAATTTCGAAATGAGAATATTGCTTTTGGGTTGAATGGAATGTAGCATCACTGCGTGGAATATGTAAATGAGAAAAAGGCTAAATTTTGTTGCGCAGTGTTGGACTTATGGGTTTATGTATAATGAGCTTCTGCGAGAGCACTTACAGAGATACTCAGATCCAAACGTAAATCTTTGAGTAGATTGGATGTGTGCATATCTAAACACTCGTTGGTGTATATCCTAAGCAATGTATTTAAATTTTCATAATCCAATTGACTACCTACTTAATGCTTCATGAACAACTACAATCTATGTAGCTTTAAATCTTAGGAACAAGCTTTTAGACAATCAGATATTTGAAGTCTCCTCTCAATTCATTTGCACTGCAAACTCGTTTTCTACAACCATGTCGTTATGTGGCTTATGATGGTTGTTATCTCATAGGAACCTGTCATTGAGTATGTACCAGAGAGATGGAGAAGTTAAAGAACTCTGTGCACCGAATTCTTTTAGAAAGTATCTATATTAAATGAAGAGCAAAACCTTGACTGATATACAAATTATAGGCAGAGCGAGTTTAATTAAATGAAGCAATAGGAATTTCATGAAAGAAAAGATTGTTGATTAGTTGAATGCAATGAAGGATCTTTGATTGGACTAACTATAATGAAATATAAGCAGGTTTTCTTGCCAAATTGTGAGATTTCTGAGCTTATACAAGATTAGATTCAGTTATAGTATTGGTAGGCATACTCTTACACAAGACAAAATCTTTAAGTAGAGTACAAGTATTCATATATACACAATTCTTCTTTTTTTTTGGTAAATGGAAATTTTTATTCATCACCATTATGAGAAATGTATATACACCAATCATCTCATCATTTATATGAGATAGCAAAAGAAGACTTGAAAACGAAAGCTCAAGTGAACTCTTATGTACAGAGTTTAGAAAGCATGAGCATAGTTATAAAGCTAAGATCCCCTGAACCAGTCAAATCTCTGGAACTATCACTTCTGTGAGCTTCCTCAAATTTTTGCATTTACCATTGAGAACTGTCAACAAGCAAACCTGACAGTAAGCTGAAATCTTTTGAGGTCTATAAAGATAGTATCCAGTCTTTATTCTCAGCAGCAATATCTCTATTTAGAATGGTTGTTATCAGGTCCACCTTGATGATCTTGATAACAAGCATTATATCTCTGCTTTTTTGTTTAAAGATCCTCCCATTCCGTTCAATCCAGATATTATAGATAGTGGATGTAAATGCCATTCTTTTAACTTTGTGCTTGAATCTTTTCCGCCTTAAGTTGCAGCTATACCAATTCAACAATTGGTTTAAATCACAACTTCTCCACCTAAAACAGAGCCATTCCATTATTCCATTCCAGACATCTTTAGAAAATTTGCATTCAAAGAACAGATGATTAGAACTTTCTGTTTCTGCTCCCGAGCATAAAAAGCATCGATTTGTTTGAATGATCCCTCTCCACAGCAGTTTATCTTAGGTTAAGAGCCTATCTTGGACTGCTAGCCAAGATATAAAAGAGTGTTTAGGTTGGTTAACCCCCCCGATAGTTACACTCCATGACACTTTGTTAATAGCAGGAGATAGAGCATGATATAAATCTGACATCTTGATTTTTGAGTTCCTGCAACAAGAACTGATTAGATTCTTCAGATTTTTCAATCCTCCACATTGAGAAATGCCTTTATTCCTGGCTTTAAGTAACTGCTTCCACATCCAAGAATCACTAACTTTCATTTTCACTCTCCATATTTCCATATGCTTTAGATAATTGCCATGAATCCATTTGATCCATAATAACTCTTTGTTGACATGAATGTCCCATAATAATTTCAGAGTTGCTGCCAAGTTCCAGATAGTAGATGAGAAAATTCCCAGTCCACCATACATTTTACTTGTGCACACTCTATCCCAAGAAACCAGTGATTGTTTAAATGTAAGATCACCCTTACCCCAGAGGAAATTCCTACATAGTCCATCCACTTTTTGCAGCACTTTCACTGGTAGAACATAGCTAGAAATCCAGTAAATTTGAATTCCCAGAATCACACTTTTTATCACATGTAATCTTCCAGCATATGACAGTTTTTGGTTCTTCAAACTATTCTGTAATCGACTGGAGATTTTGCTTATGAGAGGGTTGCAATCCATGTAGGTTAGCCTCTTGCATACAAGAGGTACACCTAGGTATCTTATTAGCATTTTTCCTTCAGTGTATCCCAAGTAATTCTGGATTGATTCCTTTATAGCATCATCTACTCTCCCATAGAAGATAGCACATTTGCTGGGATTTGCTTGAAGTCCTGATACTTGACTAAATCTGTTGATACACTGGTGGATTTTTTGAACAGACTTGAGACCACCTTTGCAAAAAAGTAACAAATCATCTGCAAATATAAGGTAAGATATTTTTTGCCTTCCACATTTAGGATGAAATTTGAAATTTCCATCTTGCTTAAGAAGATTCAAACTTCTTGTTAGATACTCCATTCCCAAAATAAACAAGGATGGAGAGAGGGGATTTTCTTGTCTTAGACCTCTTTCACCCTTAAAGTAACAGTGTAATGAGCCATTGAGAGATAGTGAATACTTTGGGAGTAGTTATACAGGTTATGACTCTGCTTATTATAACCTTTGGGAAGCTCAAGCCTTGAAGCATCTCTTTTATAAAATTCCAATTAATAGTGTCGAAAGCTTTTCTAATGTCAATGTTAACCATGACTCTAGAAGAGATGTGCTTCCTTCCATAGTTTTTAACCAATTCATGAGCTAACAGAATGTTGTTAGTTATGTGCCTTCCTTTTACAAAAGCACTTTGTGCTTCACTAATGAGATATCCCATTACTGATTGAATCCTATTTGTAAGGATTTTTGAAATGATTTTATATAGGCAACAGGAAATTGGTCTAAAATCTGCAAGAGTGTTTGGACATGATACCTTAGGGATTAGTGTAATGGATGTGGAGTTTATGGTACCCAACATTTTCCCTGTACTGAAAAATGCTTCAACTGCAAGGATTACTTCATCCCCTATAGTATCCCAAGCTGATTTAAAGAAGGAAGCTCCATATCTATCTGGACCTGGGGACTTATTATCTGCCATAGAGAAAACAGCCCTCTTTATCTCATCTTTTGTAACTGGTAAAGAAAGACTACTAATTTGATTTTCATTCAAACAAGGTCCTTTCTTTATAATCCCGAGTTCTGGAGGAAGAGTTGTTTCTGCTGTACCCAAAAGGTTCTTGAAATAAGAGACAAACTCATTTGCAATCTCCCCTCCCTCTGTAATCCTTTCACCCAAACTGTTTTTGAGAACCAATATTCTATTCTGGTGCTTATTTGCTTTTATAATAGAATGAAAATAGCTTGTACATCTATCACCTTTAATGCTGCAGTGAATTCTTGCTTTTTGCTGGTAAAAAGACAATTCACATTCCAAGAGTTTGTTATAAGTAGACAAGCAATCTTTCTCTTGTTTGATGAAGTCATGGTTGAGAGGATCCTCCTGCAGTTTTTTTTGAATTTCATCCAGTGCATATTTGGCTCTTACTACTTGTTCACTGATATTTCCATAATGTTTCTTGTTTAATTCCTTTAGAGCTCCCCTCAGTAGCTTGAGTTTAGTAACAATTGAAAACATTTTGTAACCTTCAACTTGCCTTTGCCATATTGAAGACACTGTAGGCATGTAGTTGTTGTGGTTAGTCCACATATTAAAAAACTTGAAAGACTTCTTTCCTTGTTTTTCCTCCTCATATATTGAAACTAATGCAGGTGAATGATCTGAGAAGTTAGGAAGCAAGAATTCAACATGGCTAGAGTTATAATTTTGAATCCAAGAGTCATTTACAAGAGCCCTATCCAGCCTGCACCAAACCCTAGTATCATGGTCTTGTTTGTTGTTCCAGGTAAAGAAACAACCCTCTGTTTTTAGGTGCAATAAATGGTTGTCTTCAATGAAAGAATTGAAGTCCCTTGTATCTGCATCTGTAAGTGCAATTCCTCCTAATTTTTCATCATCATTGATCATAATGTTGAAGTCCCCACATACAAGCCATGGTACATTTCCAGCAATTTGATGCACTTGGAGAAGCTCATTCCATAAAGTCTTTATTGAATCCTGATGGTTAAGACCATAGATAGAAGAAAAGATACAATTTATCCTCCCATCCTTAGATTTGACAGTGCAGGTAATGTGCTGAGAAGAAATGAAATCAGCTTGAACATTCAACATATCATAATCCCATAAAATTATTATCCTTGCCTTTTTTGTGCTTGATACATTTGAGATTCATTTCCAATTAGAGGCAATCTTTTTTGCTATTACTGGGATTTTAGCCTCCTTTATTTTTGTTTCTAGCAATGCAATGAAAGAAATATGATACTGAGCAATATGTAGTCTAATCATGTGTTGCTTAGAGGACTTGTTAAGTCCTCTAACATTCCAAAAAGAAAAATTCATTTGGTTTGATTCCCTCTATCCATTGTAGAGGGATCCAAATCACAAACTATTCCAGTTAGAGGGGAGAAGGAATTTATAGGTGAGAGTCTCTTTTTTGCTTTTACCCCTTTGCATTAACATCCAAGGTTTCCCAGAATGTGTTTGAGTATCAGCATCAGATTGTGAGACATGCATAACATGCACAAGTTTTTCAGAATGTGTTTGAGTATCAGCATTAGATTGTGAGACATGCACAACATGCACAAGATCTCCTGTTGTAACCTTTCCTGTGCTCAAATTTTCATTTTTCCCTATTTGATTTTCTTGTTCAGCTTGCATAGGATTCACCATATTTGAAAAGTGACCAGTATTTATTCCAACACCATTTCTGATAACCTGTTTAATTTCAGCACAATGCATAAGGGTCTGAGATGTATTATTCTGCAACTTAGGTTGATCTTGTATATGCTTCTGACCAAGACATGATCAGGCATTACATTAGTCTCAATCTCATCATCCTTCAAGTGTATAATATGCACAGGAGAGATAACTGATTCCACACCAGTTTTTTTAACTGAAAGATCAGTTTTCTGTTTAGGCCTCCATGCCTGAACTCTTGCCTGTTTCCTGAATGTAGAGTGTTATGACCCACATTTTTACATATTTCACACCATCTAGACTTAAACTCATAATACACCTTCTGCTGGATATTTTTCTCATCTGGTCGTTTAATTGTAATTACATTAGGAAGGTTAGAGGGCATATTCACTTCTACTAAGACTCTAGCATATGCAAGTCTTTGCCTATTTGCTGTTAACATATTAGTGGTAATTGGCTTACCTATGATGCTAGCAATCTTGCTAATGCTCTTTTCATTCCAGAGGTTCAACCTCAAGCCTGTTAATTGTATCCAGATAGGGTAAACACTCTCAGTCTTCTTTTCCAATTCTTCATCAATTGTCCATTGTTTCAAAAGAATAGGCCTAGAACCTAAGAACCAAGGTCCATTTTCCAAAATTCTCCTCATATCTTCTATGTTTTTGAATTTGAATAAAAACAGACCAGGTTTTAATAGAAAAGTTTCAGGCACTGTCAAATTCCCCCATATTTTCTGCACATAATTCTCCATTGCTTTGAACTTACTACTTAGCATTTAATCCAGAATTTGCCCAATTAGAGAAAACTTCCAAAAAGATCCCCCTTCATTCCATTCATCTTCATCAAAAGTTATTGTGTCTTCAATATCAGGAGGCACATAATTCAAGCTAAAACCATTTCCAGGCTTTCTATTCTCAGCGAAGAAACTAATCCAACTTTTCTTTGCCATTACAGGATCTGGAATTGGTATTTTAGATGTTTTCTCAAGAGGAGGGGAATTTTTCCCATTCAAGAAATCTGTTGTTGGACTAATTTGAGGAAATTTATCAACAGATTCAGAATTTATCCTATCAAGATTCACAGATATTTTATCTAGATTCATCGAGGAATCCAATTTCAAAGAAGTTTCATCATTTAAAGAATTTGAGAAATTCTTCAATGAGATATCTAATTCTTGATCATCTGCCCAAGAAAATCGAGAAGAACTACATTCACCAGTTATAAAGTTCAAAGACTTACGGAGTTGCCTCGATTGAAATCCACAAACCTCAGGAGATTTCTGAGGTTGAAGAGAATTAACCAAGAACTTGCTAGAGTTGAGGATGTCTGTCATCAGCAACTTCTTCTTCTCTCCCTTCGGTCCCGTAGATCCCATGACTTCATGGTTTAATCCTTCATCATCTCCAGCCAAACTCATTGTAGATTGCAAATCAGATGATTTCGCACAAGAAATTGAGGCACTTAGATCAGTCTTCAAGATCTCAGATCCGCTGTTTTTCTTTTTTTTCCCTATTGAATCAAGGCGGGGGCGCAAGTTAGCATGCAAAAAATCGCATGCTAACGTGCACCAAGGAGAACCGCCAAACTCAACACTTATTAGTTTATATATACACAATTCTTGGTGTATCCTAAGTGCTCTTATTCGAAAGTTTCTGTATTTTTTAATTGATTATCTACTTAATGCTTCATGAACGATTACATGGTAACTAGATTCAGCAAGTAGGATACATGCTTTTAGCAGCGTAACCATTTGAATGCCCTCTAAAATCAATAACATAACCTACATTTTGCTGTAATCACGTTGTGGTTCAAGATGCTCTAATTCTTAAAAGAGAGCTGTGTTTGTATGAGCTATATATCTGATACGTCTGATACGATTTGTGCGATTCTACCTGGATATTTGATTTCCATATCTAGTTTTGAAGTATTATGTATATGCAGACTAAATTCTTTTTGGATGCCTTCTATTCGCAAATTGGGTATACTATTGACTTTACAGGTTACTTTCATATCATATTATGGGTTTATCTATAAATATGATGGTTTTCATGGTTGCCTCATGAGTGAATATATCACCTCACTATTTCAATGAGTGGAGGAGAATATGTCACCTCACTATTTCAATGAGTGGAAGAGAATATGTCACATCACTACCAAGCACAAAAATTTATGTTTGGTACCAAACATACCCATTTTTCTTATATATATATATATAGATGTGATCTGTACTGTACATCTTGGTCAAAACATAATTAAATAATACAGTTAAATTTTTACATAGTTTGGAGTCTTCTAAAATATGAATCAAACTAGTTTAATATGTTGATTTTTCTCAATAACCGTCCCTTTTGCACATAGTTAAAATAACAAATAGAAATTTCAAAATGATATAATTTTTTTCTCATATAGATTATGGTGTGCAAATCATGATGGGTGTGAAGATACCGCGATCGTGCACAGATCCAGGATTTGTGTCTGGACTTGGCACGGTCGATCGCCACGGTCGACCGCCAGACCCTGTAGGCGATTTACGGTATCTATCGTTGGATCGTTGGATCCCGGTCGACCGTGAGATTGGGGGCGGTCGACCGCCAATCGGGTCAAAGCCCAGTTTTGGTTTTCTGTTCTTATTTGGTTTTGGTGTTTGTATAAATACCAATACACGTTCTGGGGTTTCTTAAGGCAAGAATTTGGGATATTTGGAGCACAGAAAAAGGTATTTTCTGAGTTATTTGATTAGGCTTTATTTGGAGAGATTAAGAGCTTTGTTGGTGAGATTAGTTTGTTCATTCGAATGATTTATAATCTCAAGTTGTACTCTTCTTCTCTATTAGTGAAAACCCCATCCCCTTCTTGCTCCGTGGACATAGGCAATTGCCGAACCACGTTAAAATTGGTGTTTTGTTTGTGCATTGATTTTGGTTGGTTTTGACCCTCTTTGATCGACGTTTGGTTTGGTTCCTCAACACAGTTTTCAACAACAATTTATATCAGAGCACAACAATTGGTATCAGAGCTCGGGCTACGCTTGGGCTATTTGGAGGAGTAGATCGATTTGGGAAGCTCGTCTAGGATTTCAGTTAGTGAGAAAGGTGTGATCTTTTTGGTAAAGCTCCTTTCTTTTCTCAGTTTTGGATCTATTCTTCGTTTGTTTCCGTATTGGTTGTTGGTGTGTTGAGGATTATGGCCGAGAAAGAGGGAGTTGAGGGTGGTTCTTCAGGTGTAAAGACTGTCCAAAGTTTGAGTATCCACTAGATGAAGATTGACGTGGAGAAGTTCAATGGCACTAATAATTTTAGACTTTGACGATACAAAGTCTTGGATGCGCTCAATGCGCAGAATTTAGAAGATACGTTGGAGTTGGACGGGAAACCAGACGACATTGATGAGAAGGTTTGGAAAAAGATAAATTAGACAGCGTGTGGTGTGATTAGGTCTTGTCTCACTCAAGATCTAAAATATGATGTGATGAATGAGACTTCAGCTAAGAAGATTTGGGAAGTCCTAGAGAGCAAGTACTTGACGAAGAGCGTTGAAAACCGCTTGCATTTGAAGAGGAGACTTTATCGCTTCCAATTAAAGAAGGGGACATCCATTAGTGATCACATGAGCCACTACATGAAGTTTATTGTAGATTTGGCGAATGTAGATGTCATTGTTGAAGATAAGGACAAAGTGTTGCTATTGTTGAGTTCCTTGCCCGACGAGGAATATGAGACGTTTGTCCTTACTCTTATTAATGAGAAGACATCTCTTTCATATAGTGAGGTCACCGCTGCATTAGTGAATTACCAACTTAGGAAGAAGGACAAGAAGACTTCTATTGAGCCGGTAACGAGGGCATTGGTTTCAAGAGCAAAGGGTCCAAACCGAGGTAGAAGGTCACAGTCTAGAGGGGCACATCTTGAAATTCGTAGGAATCAGTGTGCTTTTTGTAAAGAAGATGGACATTGGAAAGTTAAATGCCCAAAGTTAAATGATTAAGCTGGGAAGAATAAGGGGAAAGATATTCAGGCTTCAGAGGTGAATGTTATCAAGGCTAGTGGTAACGATTCAGATTCGGATTCTTCGGGCTACTCATTATCTGTACTGCCGTCAGTTTGTGTTGCCTACTCTACAAAGTGGATGTTGGACTCGGGTGCTACATATCACATTTGCCCTAGGAGGGATTAGTTCTCCAGCTTTCAGGAGTTAGAAAGAGGGGATTTCGTGCTCATTGGTAATGATCATGAATGCAC